TTTTCTGGTTTATGATCTAACGTCACCAACCTTACAGTGGCCTAGATAGTTTAGTCCGTTCATCAAATAATTATTTATTAACTAACTGCTGTAGCAAAGCTCAGTTAATGTTTACATCCATGTGGGCAATAACACAGTATGTACCAAGACAATAGGCTTGTAGGTAAGAACGCTAGTCGTTGCTGCCTAGCAGTAGCAGTAATGACTAACTACATTTGTATTGTCCCACAGCAACACTAAAATAATATATCTGACTGCTGTATTACTATTACGTACTGCTGTGTGTATTAATAAGAGAATTAACACAGACATTTAAAATGAAACACAGAAGCCACTTTACCTTGTAACTAATTACTTTTACATGTAGTAATTGGTAAGGTCATTCAATTACTTTTGTGAGTGAGTGGGTGAGTGAGTGTGTCTTACCTTAAGGTCCCTGTGTACGATGCTGTTTTCGTGCAGGTAGCTGACGGCCTGCAGCACCTGTTTGATCACTGTGCTGGCATCCTTCTCGGTGTAAACCCCCTTGTCCAAAATGCGATCAAACAGCTCCCCGCCTGACACCCTGCACACACACAAACGTACAAAGGAAATCATTAGTGAGTCTATATTTCTGGGGATCTTGTTGCTTTCCTCAACTCTTCTGACCTGCCATTTGGACAAATAGTTCTGTAGATCAAAACAGTTTTGAACTTTCTTTTGAGATCACATTTGACAAATAGCAGATATTTCAGGTTGACCTTTGGGAAGATGTGTACTGTATAAAATGAACATTTAGAATAATGTTTGATGGAATGGTATATTTCACTCAGTATAAACATCATATATGTAACTTCAATGAAGAGCTAGGACCATCTCATACTGTATATGTATTATCCTGTCAATATTTTGTTCTACCCAGGTAACTATGATGATTGATTGATTCAAGATAATAAACCTCTTCAATCTTGAATCTTGAATCATTAGTGAAAAATGAGATGATAATAATAAGTCCACTTACAGTTGCATGACCAGGTAATAGTGTGTTCGACTCTCATAGAAATCCTCCAGTCCCACCACATTCTCGTGCTTTATCCTGAAATAATAAGAAAGAGGTTGAGGCATCACCACTGTCTCCAGTGGAAATGATTACATGTTTACCGTGATACAACTGTAATGCTGGTCCTTGTTCTTGAGTCGGGGCCTAACTCATAGGGATGCACAATATGTATTGCTTCTTGCGGCTGATACCAATAAGATAACCGATCATTTCAGGTTTTTGTATTTTAAAAACAAACAACAGTTCTGACTCTTCAAATGTTCATTACATAGGCTTTCATAGAACATAAAGCCTATCAATTGTTTCGCATAAGAATTACAAATAAATTATTATCAATATTAAACTAATAATTTATCGGCTGAAGATTTATAAATCCGAACATTTATAAAAATGTAAATTTTCCATTATCAGACGATATTGTATCTGTCCTGATAATTATTTATTTATAATTGCATCTCTACTAATTCTCATCCAGCTAATTTGGTTATTGGAACACAGTGTGGGGATTCATTTGTTAATGTTTGGATGTTGTTATCTAGAGTAACGGTGCACTTTTATTTTGAAATAAAGGCAAAATGAGTAGATAGTTGAAACCATTCATTTAATCATGTACATGGTTCACAGTAAAATACCTTGGTCAATATCTTGCTGACTGTCAATGAGCCTGCACTTTTGCATGTTTGAGCTTGAATTGGCTGTTGTGTGTGCGTCTGTGTTTACCTTCTCAGCACATTGATTTCATTTTCCAGGTTGCTATGAGCAAGGTGTTTTTTCTTCAGACATTTCAGGGCATACAGTTTTCCTGTAGTCTTCTCTCTCACCATAAAAACTTCTGAAAAAGACCCCCTGCACAATAATAGAAAATACAGACACATAAATGGAGGTGGGAGTTAATGGAGACACAGCAGTCTATGGAAATGCACAATGCGTCTTTTTTTTTCTCAAGGTTCATTTATTTATCATTCTACAGTAACATGTAGTCCCTTTTTAAATGATAGAAATGGATGATAAAAAATATGGCACGGGAATGTTGCTTTCTTTAAGAAATACAGTTGTTTCTGTGCTTTCTTAACCAGGTTGGAGATGTGCCATGGCACATAAAATCCTAAAATCAACAATCAGCTCCTGGGTTTAGCCGACATTGAGCAGTAGGTTGTTCAAGAACTTCACAACAGAGTTTTCTCCATGAAGGGGGATGCAGTCATAGGTGTACAGCATTAACGATAAAGTTACATTTGCTCAGTAATACTTGAACATTTAACTCTTTGTGTGGCTCTCTAAGATTTTTTAGCTGTACTAAACTGTGAAGAGTGCTTATGTTTCTGACAGGCCCTTGTTATGTTTTGCCTCATGCTGTGGTGTTTTTGCTTTAATTACTTTGTCTCCATATGTGGTGCTAAGTACTAACTACTCTGGGTTTGATTCTAATTTGATCTCAGTATTTAGTGCTAAACATTCATCACTGTGGTGTTATTATGTGTCCATATGTGCTGCTTACAATAACTGCTCATTGCTGTGGTGTTTCCCAAATAGATATGACTGGTGATGATGCAGCCTTACATAACACAACAACATGAAGTCACTCAGTTACATATACAATATTATATGTACTACATAATGCTATACTTTCATTCACGTTTACAATTGCATCTATAGTTTCAGTTGTCAGACTCTTTGTTACGGGTACGTATCCCACTTAGATCAACACTCTTCTCCCTTTTCTGTAATCTTAAACTGAATGTCATACGCTCCACACTGTATATGCTGTTTACAATAAGGGGCGGCTGTGGTACAGAGGCAGAGCGGGTCGTCCCC